CTAAACGTATACAAAGATGAGTTAATAGAACACAAAGAAGTTATACAAAATATACCCGATCGAAGCTGCTACCTTGACGCGGTGGTCGGGCTTGCCTATCGTGATGACCCAACCGAGCTATATTGGCTGGAACATATGTTCCTGCAGGTTCTACCATGCCAGGCAGGTCGATTGGCGAACGGTAAGACTAAAAGCAGCAACTCAAGGTCTGAGGGCGAAGTCGTACTGCTGACTGTAGAGAGGTGTGACAGCAGTAAGGTGTTTCCCTCGGACAACCAGCATGACAGCGATGCTGCCTTCCCACAAGGAGGGGTGGGGTTAGAAAAGGTCGACCCTAAAAATGCACACCTCACCTTACCTCACGGATTTCCGTCTCCGGCGGTAAGGCCCCTTGAAGAACGGAGCTAACACGTCAAAAACCTTCCACAAAAAGGCCGTGCGCGACCGGCCTCAAGCAGTTGTCCCTTGGGCTCTGCGGTCACGCTCCCAGGTCGTCAAGACCAACACTAATCCAATTTCCTTTTCAGGTTCATCAAGAAATACCCTTCCACGGTGTGGGCAGCCGGGAAGTGACATCAGCCCTCATACCCGTAACAGCACAAGAGACCAAGGTGGTCACATTCAAATCCTTCCTACACCTCCTAATACCTCTCTTATCCTCCCGACTAACCCTCCTCACGTCTCTTTATCACCTCGCACCGCTAGGGCAAACGATTCGAGTACGTGGAACGCCATTCCTGGGCTCCTGAAACCACGCTCTAAACTACACGTAGGAGCTTTTAACGTACGAACACTGTGCCAAATAGGACAACAGGCTTCCTTAGCTAGGACTTTAGAATCTCGCGCCATCGATGTGTGCTGCGTCTCCGAAACGCGCATACAAGATCCGAGTAGCGTCATTCATTTGACCTCACCATGCCAAAATAAACAACCGACTCGATTTACGCTTCGTGTATCTGGAAGCCCTGATTCTGCTTCCCGTGGCCTCGCCGGCGTAGGTATAGCATTGAGTCCTAGGGCAGAACTAGCTCTCTTAGAGTGGATCCCAGTAAACAGTCGTTTGTGCGCTGTCCGACTGAACGGAACAGTAAGAATCCGGAAAGATAGGGACACTCGTCGTTGCCTCTTCGTCGTCTCTGCCTATTCTCCCACTGACTGCAGCTCAGATGATGTAAAAGATGAGTTTTACAGAAAGCTTTCGGACTTTCTCCGAAAAGCTAAGCGCTCGGATGTAGTAATAGTGGCCGGTGACTTTAATGCTCAAGTAGGTAAACTAAGCGATAAGGAAAGACACCTAGGTGGATCCTATGGTGTCGTGGCTCAAAGAACAGATAATGGCGACCGTCTGTTGCAGCTATGTTCAGATAACCGCCTGTTCCTTGCAAATACTAACTTTAAGCATAAGGAAAAACATCTTTTAACATGGCGACCCCCTAATTCGTCCCAACGTTGGACCCAAATAGATCACATCGCTATCAGCCACCGATGGAGGGGCTCGATAGAAGACTGTCGCTCATTCTGGAGCACATGCCTAGATTCAGATCATGCTCTAGTGCGAGCGCGTATTTGCTTGCGTCTTACTGGACGTAGGAAAGATCCTGCAAGGAAACCTCTTAGGGCCCTACCTAATGATAGTCAAGCTAAGAGTATATTTCAGGAACAACTAGGAAAAGAGTTAGGCAGCCATGTATGTGATGCCCACCCCGAGGCAGCATGGAACGATATCCGAAAAGCTGTGGAAACAGCAGTGATATCTGCTAGTAAGGTAAACCGTAAAGTTAGGGAGCAACACTGGATCTCAGCAGCATCTATCGCACTGATAGATGCTCGAAAACTCATTCCACCTGGCTCTGAACATAATGAAGAGCGGAGTGAGCTTAAGCGCAAGCTGACAAGAAGTCTACGCAATGATCGTGAACAGTGGTGGGTAGCGAAAGCAAGAGAGATGGAAAAGGCAGCGGCGATAGGTAATAGCAGACAATTGTTTAGACTCGTTAAGGAAACCGGAATTAGGAAACCGACCGTTAGCGAAACAATCTCAGAGAAAGATGGACATATTATTCATTCTCAATCCAGGAGATTGGATCGATGGGCAGAACACTTTAGGGATCAGTTCAACTGGCCTTCAGCCACACTTCGGTTTCCCACGATCTCCAGTCAACCTGAATGGCAAGTTAATGTAAGTCCTCCGTCCCTTTACGAAGTTGAAAAAGCCATAAGAAATCTGAAACGAGGGAGAGCAGCAGGCCCTGACATGTTTACTCCTGAGATTTTTAAGGATGGTGGTCCAGTATTAGCAGCAAGATTAACTGAGGTCTTAGGTAGAATTTGGGAACTGGACGTAATCCCATCTGACTGGTCTCAATCACTGATTGTGCCAGTTTTTAAGAAAGGACAAAAGTCCTCTTGTGACAATCACAGAGGAATCAGTTTGACTAATATAGTGTCTAAAATATTGGCCTCAATAATACTTCGACGCCTAACTAAAGCTCGTGAAGAACAGACTAGAGAAAACCAGGCTGGTTTTCGACCTGGACGTGGTTGTATAGATCAGATATTCACACTACGTCAGGTTCTAGAACAGAGACACACATTCAGACGCCCCACAATGGTAGTATTTCTCGACCTTAAGGCGGCATTCGACTCCGTTGATCGTGAGGTTCTATGGCAGTGTTTGTCACTGAAAGGAGTACCAAAGAAGTACATTAACCTTATAAAGGCTCTCTACTCGAACACAACTGGTAGAGTGAGAGCTTATGGCGAACTGTCATCAGAATTGATCACCTCAAGTGGTGTTCGTCAGGGCTGTCCACTCTCCCCATTCTTGTTCAACTTTGTCATTGACGTACTTTTAGAGATAACACTCTCCTCATCTAAATTTCCAGGGGTTGAACTTCTACCGGGAGGTTCACTTGTTGACTTAGAATATGCAGATGACATAGTTTTATTTGGTGAAGACGCTGACAAAATGCAGAGTCTTCTGACCACTCTAAGCAACAATGCAAGCATGTTCGGGATGCGATTCTCTCCCTCGAAATGTAAAATGTTGCTTCAGGATTGGGTTACATCGACACCCGAACTAGTGATAGGGAGTGAAGTAGTTGAGTGTGTCGACCGCTTCACTTATCTTGGAAGTCTCATCAGCCCTTGTGGTTTGGTGTGTGACGAAATCTCAGCACGGATACAGAAGGCTCGACTAGCTTTTGCCAACTTGCGTCATTTATGGCGTAGGCGAGATATCCGTCTATCAACCAAAGGACGTGTTTACTGCGCAGCAGTTCGTTCCGTCCTACTTTATGGCAGTGAAACATGGCCGGTAAGAGTAGAGGATATCCGTAGGTTACTAGTATTCGATCATAGGTGTCTTCGAAACATTGCTCGTATATCCTGGGACCATCGAGTAAGTAACACAGTTGTCAGGAAACGGGTACTAGGTAAGGATGGCAAATCAATTGATGAAGTAGTGAAACTTCATCAGTTGAGATGGCTGGGACACGTGTTACGTATGCCCAACGACCGACTGCCTCGACGTGCTATGTTCAGTGGTATAGGAGTAGGTTGGAAGAAAGCTAGGGGCGGCCAGACCAAAACATGGCACAAGTCCATGAAGTCACTGACAAGTGAACTGAGTCATGTTGGTAGGTGTAGACTACGTGGTTGGGGACCGCGAGATGACAGCAACCGATGGTTAGAGACCCTGAATGACATGGCTCAAAATCGTTCGCAATGGCGCAGGTGCATCCACTCTCTGTGTTCTCCCAAACTCTAATCTTCTGAATTCTTCATGTCCCTTTTTCCCTCTTCCCAAATTTCTTTCACCGGATTATACTCTTTAAATAACATCTCCAAACCCTAATCTTCCCGATTACTGCTTATACTCTTGCTACCTTTACCACTACGGGATTTGAATCGACCACTGCATCTCTGTGCTAATGTGGTGTGGCAACTCGAACTGATGTACGTACGTACGAAGTTCTACGTTGTTACTGACTGACTGATACAAAATATATAAGAATTACTTGCTATTGTTAGAAGGGTATGTTTACGGGTCCGTGGCTGATATTGGTTAACAGTTGTTTTGAGTTTCATCTTAACCGTAGAAAAATGGCCTTTGTTCTGCCAACTCTTGCCGTTACATCTGCATCAACTTCTTGTTCATCGATGGTAATGTCTAGGGACATAAAAGTTTCTAATTCTTCGAGAGTTTCTCCATCAAGTGGGATCGGGTTTAGGGGAAGACAAAGAGTGTGTACACCTACGATATTGTGATCGGTTCTGATCCATGTCATGCAGTCTCCAACGATTGGTTACTATGGTCTCGCGGACCCCAACCAAGTCTGTATCTATCAATATGGCTCAGGCCAGAAGTTAGCGACCTTTAAGGACTAATGCTACTTTTTGGTTTGGCCGCTCCTAAGTTGTGACAAGAGTTGCAAGCAATAAATTATGTCTAATAACAAAGCCTGAAAGAACCTAGTAAGTGGTAAATGCTTGTTTTTTTTTCAAAAGCACTAAAAACATCTCCGTAAACACTAGACACTCATTTATTCACTTACTATAATATATTATTTAATACCAAATTGAGAAAATGAAACTCAATAAACACTAAACGATGGTTTGTTCATTGAATGTCTTCAAAGGTTGGATTGCAGTTTGGTGTTAAAGTTGCGGATTAAATTATCTGGTTCCAATTCGATTTCCAGATTGTCTTAATTTAAGGCTTGTTTAGTTGCTGATTGCTGTCTATTGCTTTTCTTACTGGATGTAAGTGCACTTTGTGTTCTATTTAGCATCCTCCCCTAGCACCTAAAATACCATCTGATTGTACGCAAACCGTTGCAGTTCTGTAACTCATTCGAAGCCTCCAGCTATCAACCTCTAGTTTCAACTATCAGCTTATTAATTCTAATGGTTATCGATTGCTTTCAATGTTAAGTGTAAGTGCATGCTATATACCTCCTGAGCTGTCGACTCACTTCTGTTGTTATTTTCTTTTCCAGATTCTCTGCTCCTCACCCACGCAGCTTACAAGGTACTTTCAGGCTAGACACAAACCTACAAAAGGCTGAATGTTTCAAGTCATATGCCTCAAGGTTTGTATCTATGCTATCTAGCTGATAACTTTCTATTTAAGAGAATCGTATTAAATTTTTTTGTCAAGAATGTTATCCGAAAGTCAACAGGATATTAATTACAGTATATAAAGTACCATGCAGTGCAGAAATTATATTAAGGTATTTGGATTTGACGAATACTGACAAAAAGTAACATCATTTTTGTACACTTCGTTTGATTTACCGTTAATTTCGATACTTGATCCCGTCCCGGGTTTATCGGCTTGAACAGTGGATCCTTGGATCTTGTAGAAGTATTGAGATCCAATTTAGACTGCAGTATATCATTAAACAGAACCAACGTAATGTAGCATATTGGAGAGCTCCAATGGTTTGTAATTCAATCACTGAACAAATCTGTGCATGTGAAAACGTTTTTAGGGGTTTTTAAACGCTTTTGAGGTGTTCTTAAGTTTTAGGTTATGGATAAGTAACAATTACTCAAAAAATATGTTTCGAATAATCGTATTTTGGCAAACAACTGCTTGTTTAACATAAAATGTCTGTCAAGTAACTCGAACAAGTTAAATATTCTTTACGAAATTCGTAGCTCACCGAAGAGCCTGGCTTTTTTAAAATAATTTCTTCTAATGCCAGTGCTACCATTTAACTGTAAAAAATAACTGATGAGTAAACCCTCAAAATTAAATTGTGTACCTAGGACAGTAAGCCATATTTTACACCAATATATACAAGCACTTACAAACCATGGTAACTGAATATTTCGGTTTGCTTAAAGTCTCAATTTATAACATTCAATTTTCCTGTCCATGTGTTATTTTTTGGTCTTATCTTCCCTTTCAGTCTAGAATGCCGATTTCTTAAACGACCTATGCTTCCTTATGATGTGTAAATATCAGTAATTCTTCGTATTCTTCCCTCATATTGAGTACCTCAAGAAACTACATACCTCTCATTTGGTTAAATAATATTTACACTTAGTAATTTTCAACTACTGAAACCACTTATCCAAAAATTTAGGATCAAATAAGGAAATAACATTGGTTTTTAGATCTTATATTATACTATTCGACTCACTTAATCGCCTACTTTTATACCATTATAGTCTCTCGAGCTTTTCATGTTCTTTACATTGATTTTATGTACTTCAGATAACTCCTGCAGATATGCTGATCACATGCAAATTATATCCAACGCTGTTCAAGAATGGGATTCCGCATTTATTTCATTCACGAAGTCCTGCAAACACTTATATGAAAGTCGTAAAGAAAATAATCTGCTAGTTGATGTCCAACCGTGTTTTTCGTTTCCGATTCTAAACGAACTCATTGAAACACGCTTAAGTATTTCCATGAAATTAGCTGTTGGCAAATACCAAGAAAAATCATTCGATGCCAGAGACAAATTTAATCATTCAACGGATAATCTGTTTTCTGCTCTAAATTCATTAGCCGAGGCCGTTATAAACCATTACATTCTAAACAGTCGCCTTCCTAAAGTTGTCTCAATTCAAAACATCCTGAATGTAATAAATTCCTTTAAAAATATGTTGGCTGATGAGTGCGATGCCATCAGATTATTCCACTTTAAACAAGTTTTTGATGATTCATTTGAAACTAACGACAAGTGGACCAATTACTTTCTGTCTAGTAATTCTCTGAGTAAACGTACTTGGTGTAATGATTTTATTGTACAGTTAAATACCTTGCTAGATTTTTTGATATAAGGCTGTCGACCTAACTATAGGTTTTTATTTGGATGCAGATGTTAGTGGTGGTAAAGCCCTTGCACAAAAATAGCTATGGAATAAATAACAATACTTGATGTGTTCTTTGAATTAGTCTGTTCGAAGGATGATAAGATTTATATGTGATCTTTAATAGTGCATCTTTAATCGTAAAATTCAGTGTGGCCTTCTGTCAGTGATCATGAACATAGGACGTAGTGTTATATCCGGTGATGATTAAACGACAGGTAAATTCCAAGGACTATTCATGGACTAATATTCTATAAATATTCTTATTGTATAACTACTCAACAATTACACTATGTATATTTATATTCCTTTTATGATAAGCTTTATTTTGACCTATAATTTATTATTGTACGATTTACTGTTCTTAAACTAGGTTTCAGTTTATTAACTACTGCCTCCCACATTCACAACCACTTTTTGGGCTTATTTGTGTACAAATATTATTTCCTATTTTATGGTACGTTGCGGTCTGTCTGATTGATATATAAACCAAGTATGCCTGAAATAAATGATTCGATTCATATTACGGAAGCTGGTATCTTGTTCTGGACTCAAGTGGAGGGGTTAGGAGGACATAGGACCAATAAGGACGCTAAACTGCTCATACCGGTTGAACGTCATTGGTTTGGCATAGTGCGAAGATTGTGTAAGCCGGATCCTGATTGTTCGATAGGTCGCGTGATAGAAAAGTCAGACATCCAAGGTCATAACACGTAGTACAATTGTGCCTCGGTCCAAGAGGCCATCAGCATACTGAAAACTTACTAACATAAATAGCCCCCGAATGCTCTGGTACGGCCGAGAGTGGGGTGAGTCCGCTCTCCCTCTCGAAATACTCTCACACGGCCGCGCGTATACAGCCTCTGCCAGGGAAGTCCTACTCATTGCCTTCTCGTGGCGGGGGTGTTGTTTACGAAAATGAGAGGACGAAAAGCGAATATCCGGCGCTTTAACCGGATCACAAACCAATGGTGCACATGGGCTCCAGTATCCTGCGGGAACAAATGGCGTATGAACCAATCTTTGGTCACCGGCTACCATGGGATTGCATCTCCTTACGATGCTCCACTGCCTTGTGGGTTAGACCTTTAGGTCAAAGGCTCGGGGAGTGGCCCCCTAAGATAACCACCTGCTTCGGTTTGGGCACCCGGGCAGTATCACAGCCCACACACAAACGATGAACTCTATGTCTTTGGCAACTACTTTTATCGCTCCGAAAAACAATCAGTCGATTCAAATAATTATCATTACTATTATTGTCATTATTAATACTATTATTATTACTATTATTGTCGTTATTATTATTATTATTATTATTATTATTATTATTATTATTATTATTTCCCACATTATTCACCCTCTTTTATACTTATACAGCGGCTCGTCTTTGGTGGAAATCCGACTGTATCTAAACGATATTGTCTTACTGTGCGATAATGCCCAAGGCATGCAATCCGCACTTAATCAGTTGGCAATCAGTGTCCGTAGGTATGGTATGTGCTTTGCACCTTCGAAGTGCAAAGTACTCCTACAAGACTGGCAGTATTCCAATCCTGTACTCAGCCTGGATGGTGAGCAGATAGACGTAGTCGAGAAGTTCGTGTATCTGGGTAGCTGCATAAGTGCTGGTGGGGGTGTGAGTGATGAGATCAATGCACGTATAGTGAAAGCCAGAGCGGCTTATGCCAATCTGGGCCATCTATGGCGCCTTCGTGATGTTTGTCTGGCCGTAAAAGGTCGGATCTACAATGCGTCGGTGAGAGCAGTTTTGCTCTATGCTTGTGAAACCTGGCCTCTCCGAGTTGAGGACTTTAGACGACTCTCTGTGTTCGATCATTGCTGTCTTCGAAGGATTGCTGACATTCAGTGGCAACACCATGTCAGTAATGCAGAGGTTCGGCATCGTGTGTTCAGGCACAGAGATGATAATTCAATTGGTGTCACCATCTTGAAACACCGACTTCAGTAGCTTGGACATGTTCTCCGAATGTCGTCCCAGCGAATTCCACGTCGTGCATTATTTGCCGACTCTGGGACTGGTTGTAAGAAGCGGAGAGAGGTGGTCAGTGCATGACATGGTGTCGTGGCATGAAAGAAAGCTGCAAAGGACTGGCTTGTGTTGGCCCTTCACGACTCCCTGGTTGGGGTCTGAGAGATGGTGCTACACAGTGGCTAGAGACGTTATCAGATATGGCTCAGAATAGAAGCCAGTGGCGATCCTGCTGTAACCTTCTTTTACTTTCTTCATAAAAAGTGGTTCTGTCTCCCTTACCTGAAAGATTTCTTCCGATTGTACCTTTGCGTTCCCTGATTACTAGCACATTACCTTACACCAATCTCTTCGTTATTGTTCTCTCTTTTTTTTTGTTGCGCTCCTTAGCTTTTTTTTCTTTCTTTGTATTCCTCTCGAATTTTCATTGTTTTGTGTGGCGCATATATATTGGCGCTCTCTTGTACCAATATTCATGTGTCCAAATAAATAAATAAATAAACAGTAAAAACACCAACTGTATCGAGAAGAATAAACACGGAGAGTATGGTTCGAAAAGAGACATGCCATGTAAAATCTTCAACTATTGGAACCCTATACTTTTTCGCATTCATAAAATGATTCGGATGTTTGCCAGTTAATCCAAAGTTAGAGGGATTAGAGTTTGTCAACAAATCATCCATTTGGTCTCTATGAGAGGAAATGCAGGGTAATCAATATGAGATGAATATTAAGTGAATTTGTTCAAAGCCACAGATTCTGTACACTATCGTCACTTATTAGACTTTCACCCACCCTTCCAATGTAAGTACCAACCTATCCTGTCAGTTTTTCCCAATCAGTTAAAAATAACGTAGCACCAGCCATAGTATATCAGTACAATGCAAAGAACGTAAAACAGTAGTATTACAGGATAGCCGAAGGAGTAGCATTTACGCCCGTAAAAACCTAAACATAAAATGTGGTTTGAAAAGAAGTAAGGTTCAGATCTGTGACTCATTGTTTTAGGTCATTAGTGATATGGGCTGTATTAATGGAAGCACTTAAGACGGGGTTGGGCTTAGCATGTTTTAGGTTAAGAGTATTTAAGCTATACGAAAACCACATGTCCATTGAGTGTTTCTTCAGCATTATATTTTTAAAAGCAGGGTAACTTTCATGTGGACATTAAGTTTGTTTGTATGAAGTGTTCTTATTTATGACATTTTGAATCTAGTGCATGATGATGCGTAAAAAGGAGGAATTCTGCTTTCATATATATATAGGCGGTAAATATCTACCTACTGTTTATTAATAATTGAGTTTTTTAAACAACTTCGCTTCATCCTAGTTATACCTGATGGATTACATCACATTTATTTAGCTTTAAGAGAGATTTCTCAGAAATTGCTGAACCCAATAAGGTTTGGATTCTTACTGTCTTGTTTGATCTCATTGTGACAAATAATAGTCTCACTATCGCTAAAAATAAATCATGATACTCTAAAGGTAAACTCATAAGTTAGTCACTGACTTCGCCTTACAACTTCTTTCATGAAATGAAGTTGTTTCCGTGCACTTGTTTCATTGTGCCAGGGATCAAGTTAGTTGTTCGGTTTATTAATATTTGCTTGTTTAGGCATCAGTTTTTTCCTTAGACAATTAATTTAGTAAGTACATAATCTTAGTCTTAAAAATAGCATCAATTTGCCTACTTAATAATCGAACTATGTGATTCGAACTTGTTCAGTCTACATCCATATTAAGACTTTGCAACTGAAGCCTAAAGCATCATATTCAAGCATGTACCTGATTGTTACGTTGCTGTCAATGTACCAATTTGGTTACTGTTCTGTAGATCCAGTTTACTATTTCAAGCATAAATCACTTTATATTATCCTGTGGTAAACGTATTAAAATGGTTAGTCAGTTGTCTTCTAACGGTTAAGAAAATAGAGAATTCATCTGTGATGTGTTTCATTATCATGTGAAAAGTACAACAGAAACAAATTATTTTGATGGTTTTGTCGTCTGATGTATTGTTTGTCTGTTCACGTTTTGTTTTGCGTAAGCTGCACTTCTTAAAATATAATTTGCTTGAGTCTCTGGCTTCTTAGATCGCTCTAAAAAAAAGAACATGTGGTAATCACGTTGAAAACATCTTGGTTAGTAGACAGTATGTACAAATATAAGACGTTGATTGTCATTGCCAAATAGGTTCGATAAAAAGTGTGGGCTAATTATTAGGCTATGTTTCGCAATCTTATGACGCTGTATGACTAAACAGATATAAACATTCAGTAAGATAGTTTGTGAGGATAATGTGAAACAGAAACGAGAGAAACCTTCAACTCAAACTTTCCGTATATCTCAATGTATTTTTCATCTGAGAACCGAAGCTCTTGACCCAGTTTATGTGTGGGATTTTGGAGTTATAATACTGGGAATTCAAAAAAATTGGGTGTCTAGTCTAGTCTGGTTTTCAGTAATTCGGCAGATGGCAAAGTCAATTTGAAAACCTATATACTATTTAGAGACAAATTTGGATAGGGTCATAACAAAATATAAAGAAAACGATATATTAAAATAGAAGAGTAATGGTGGGATAAAGAGTTGAGTTGTCTTAAGATTGTGGCTTGGAGTTATGGATCAGGCTCTCAAGTGTTTATGTAGTTACCATTCAGTGACTATTTCAGTTGAGTAAATCTTGTGGTTTGGCTAACTCACGCTATGGAAGCATAATTCACGGTTTCGAAGATGATTTTGCTAACCAGTTAAGTGGACTTTTTTGATTTACTGTTTTTATCCTTGTCTTGGAAACCGACATCTGTGCTAATGAGTTTGAAATAATATTTTTGATGCAGGATCTTTTGGAATTTCTATTCTTCATATTTAGATGTTCCAAATCCGAAGACCCGGATAACATACTGGTCAACAAAATTCTCGTAGTCTTTTATATGAAAACTAGGATAGTGTGCTCCCAAATGCACTGGTACGGCTGAGAGTGGGGAGAGTCCGCTCTCCCTCTCGAAATGCTCTCACATGGCCACTTGCATACAACCACTGCCACGGAAGTCCTACTCTCTGCCTTCTCGCACCACGGGTGTTGTTTACGAAATTGAGAGGACGAAAAGCGAATGTCCTGTGCTTTAACCTGGTTGGTGGACATGGATAATCCACCTAGGTGAGTTGGAAAACCCTGATTCAAAACCAATGGTGTGTGAACCAATTATTGATCACTGACTACTATAGAACTGTATGATATTGCTCCACTGCCTTGTGGATGAGAACTTTTGGTCAAAGGTTCGGGGTGTGACCCCCTAAGAAAACCACCTATTTTAGTTTGGGCACCCGGGCAGTGTCACAGCCCTCACACATATCGAATGAGATTTGTGTGGCGCATATGTATATGGTGCCTCCTTGTACCAATATCTATGTGTTAAAATAAATAAGGATAGTGTACTTATCTGTTAAAAAAGAGAAGCGTTTGATCAAACCCTGAATTTATAGTTAGCTCGTATGGAAAACCACTACACATACTATTCAATGCAAACGATATTTG